CTCACTGCTCATATATATAGTAGGTGTACAGGCACCAGACCGCGGCTAAACTCAGGGTTACTCCAGTTTTGTCAAGCAGCCTATGGCCTCACTGCGAGGTTCCGAGCCTATCGTGCTAAGGCTTAGGGGTGTTTAGAATTTCCCTTTCTGTACTGTCTTACGTTCTGATAGACTGAATGTTTACTGTACTGTTATACAGGATTGAGTCCCTAGTCTGAATGATTGTAAATTTGCATACTGTTCTGACTGTTTACGTATAAATGTTGAATGCATGAAAAATCTTTTTGGCATACAGACTGTCACAGCTCAATGGACATTATTTATTTACTGTATTGGCTTCTGCCAGGCCCTGTACTCTGTTTTACTGTACTACTGTTCTGCAGGCCTTCGGTAATCTCGGATTACTGGCCGGTTACGGTGCTAAACCCATAGGGCCGGGTTTGGGGCGTGACATACTCTCTCTCTCTCTGTTTCAAGAATGAGTTTTTGATTATGCAATGCTTCATGATCTGAATTTGGTTCAACCTGTTTTTGATTTTGTATTTGATTGCATAAACACAAAAATTAGGGCTTTGATTTGGGTTTTATTGACTTGATTTAGGTTCAATATGGAAGGGAAAAAACCTATGAGATTGGAATATCTGATTCAAGTAATTTTGATTCTGTTTTTTGTGGTATTTCTGGGGAGTCTTTGTTTGCCAAACTTTGTTCTAATCTCTGTTTCAGGTGTTAGTGTTCTGGGAAGTCTTTCTTGTATACCGCACTATCTCTCTGCTTGATATGTCTTATGTTGTGCATGTGATCTGTCATTTTATTAGTTCTGATTCCTTTCATAGTGTGACTCTCTTGAACATTGTTCATTATCTTTGTAGTCATTGAATTGTGCATTGCTTTTGTCTTCTTCTCTGCTTTATCTTTGTTATTTTAATGCTTGTTAGGCTATTGATGTTCCTGACTACCATTATATTGGCTTTTAATTTTGCTCAAAGACTCTCATTTCTTGGAAGAGCAAGAAGCAAGATTTTATTGCTTGATTATGTCCACAAGTAGCAGAGATTTTCTGCCTTTCACTACTTAGCATTGGATTTGTTATTTCTATACTTGCACCTCTTCTTGCAATAAGTAGAGTGGCATCCAGATTGCCAATAACCTGGTGTTTGAGAAGCTAGCCATGCTTACAACTCTGATTTTTTCACTTTGTTTGTATATCAGTAATCATTCCTATATTATAGGTGGATTGATTTTGCTTTTCTTTAAAAATTTGATTTTATTTTCAAACAACCATGTAACCTATATGACTTATCTATAGCTAAGATTTGATTTATATGGTTTTTCAGTTTCATTTTGATATGGATATGGAAGTTGAGAATGATTGTGCTTGGAAGTCAAAACAGGGAATGACATTTGATTTAGAATAAGGTGCGTATGATTTTTATAATGCATATAGAGGAAGAATGGGGTTTAGCATAAGATGGGATTATTCTAGGAAGAACAAGTTCACTAACCAACTTATTTATAGACTTTTGGTTTGCAACAAGGAGGGATTTCGGAAGGTTGACAAGCGAGATCCATTGTCAAAAAACCCTAGAGCTGAAACTTGGACTAGTTGTAAGGCTCAACTTTATGTTAAATTAGATGAGTGTACTGGGAAATTTGTTGTGACTGATTTCAAAGAAAAACACAACAATGATCTTGTATCACCCAAGTGTGCCCACATGTTGCCGTCATAAAGAAAGATATCGGCTACCCAAGCAATTGAGTTAGAATTGGCAGCACAATTTGGTCTTCGTTTAGACAAGTCTTTTGAACGCATAGGTAAGGATGGTGGTGGGAGGCAATGTCTTGAGTTTACGAAATTATATCAAAAAAATTATTTGAGAACCAAAAGACAACAAAGTTTCACATATGGGGAAGTAGGCAATGTGTTGCAATACTTCAAAGAAAAATCTTTGCAGAATCTTTTTTTTTTTTAATGTTTTCTAGTTAGATAATGGGGAGAAAATTACGAATATGTTTTGGGTCGATGCACAAATGATCATGGATTATGCCCAATTTGGTGATGTTGTTACATTTGATACGACTTACAAGTTAAACAAAGAATATAGACCCTTTGCATCTTTTGTGGGATTCAACTATAATAAGGAAACAGTTATATTTGGTGCAGCCTTGTTGTATGATGAGACTGCCAAATCGTTTGTATGGTTGTTTCAAACTTTTCTAGAGGCTATGTTAAGAAATGCACCAAAAACTTTGTTCACCGATCAAGATGTTGCAATGGCTAAAGCCATACCCATTGTTATGCTTGACACAAGTCACCGATTTTGTACTTGACATTTGATGCAAAATACATTAAAACATGCTAATTGTCTCTTCCAAGATAAGGGGGTAAATGGTGTACTAAATAAATTTATGTTTAACTTTGAAGATGAAAATCAATGGAAGTTAGAGTGGGCTGAAATGCTTGATAAATATGATACGCATAATAACCATTAGTTGAAAGTGACTTTTGCGGTGAAAAAAATAGGGCTGGCCATATGTTAGATCAACATGGGCTGTGGGATTGAGTACCACACAACTTAGTAAATCTTTTAATACTTTTTTGAAGGATTACATTCATTCTGATTTTAATTTAAATGAATTCTTCATGCATTTTGAAATGGTACTTTATGAGAAGTGATACAAGGAGTTAGAAGCAGGATATGCTTTGTGCCAAAGGTTGCCAAAGGTAAAAGCGACTATAAGAAGGTTAATTCAAATGGGTAATGTGTACACAAAAAAGATTTTTGAGGAATTCCAAAATGAGTACTTTCAATCCATTGAATCGAACATAGAAGAAATTGAATATGGCGAGGCTAGTACCATTTTCACAATTGTTGATGTTGGTATGAAACATGCAAGAAAATTGAAGATGGAGAGGGATGACTCTTTGGGTTGTAGTTGTACAAAGTATAAAAGGAATGAATTTTGTGTTCTCGCTCTTTGAAAGTTATGAGAGACATATTGAATATGAAAGAGGTTCCTTCATAATACATTGTAAAGAGGTGGACCAAACAAGTAAGAGCTGAAACTATGAAGGACATTACGGGAAATGACATTCAAGTTAATGTAAAATTCCAACAAGTCTTGTGGTATAAGACATTGATGACCGCTTTTAGAGCAATAGCATGTAGAGCTGCTGAAACTGAAGAAACTTATGATTTTGCAATTGCACAAGTCACTACATTAGGTGCAAATGTTGAATGCAAGTTAAGTGCTCATTTTGTTGTTGAAAATGAAGTACGTAATGAGGATGAAACCCAAAGCTTTGTAGTGGATTGCGAAGATGACAATCATGTTGTGCAACCAAGAGGCTTGAAGCAAAAAGTGGCTACTAGTAAGGGCAAAAGGAGAGTAAAAAATGGATTCAAAGCGGCGTTGGTAGCGAACTCGAAAAAAAAATCCCGTGCTAATGCCTTGGCTTCTTCACAATCTATTGCAGGTCCAATAGTTAGACCTTTATCATTATCTGTTAGAGAAGATGTGTATATTTATCAACATGTTCCTCTTCTTCATCCTCTTAATCCATCTGTTGCAATGGGTGGTAATTCAATTCCTCATTCATTGATGTATCTCACATATCATGTGAGTGTTAGTTTCAACTTTTATTACTTTGTTGTGGGTATAATATGACACCCTATGACTTATTGTCAACCCTAATATAATGTCGTCCTTGTTATAGGCAAACAATTTGCAAAATATGTATGTAGTCCAAATTGTGTGCCCAATTCAATACCTCAGCGTTATTATGCTCAACCAACATTCCAGTCAGTAGGTGAAGGTTCATCTGGATATGACATTGGGTTTCGATATTCTGAAGAATCAAATAGTCCAATGTGTAGTCAGGTTATTTCATTAACTTTGGCAATTAATATTATGTTTTTTGTACATTGTTTGGCCCTTTGCTGCTGTGTTTTGTTAATGTTATTTACTTTATTTTTTTGTTGTTGTCTTAGGCTATCAACATGCACAAATAGGTGGAACGCACTGCAAATTTTGGCCATAGCAGCTCATACATTTCATTGTTTCTTCCTTGAAGTTGCTGAAAATGTTACTGAAATGTTGCTCAAACTGTTGTCCCTGTGTTGCTGATTTTGCTGATTTTGTTGTTGAAAATGCTACTTAATTTTGCTGATTTTTTTCTCCTAAAACTGCTGCTAAAACTACTGATTTTTCTGAAACTGCTGTTGAAACTACTGAATTTTGCTGTTGATTTTGCTAATTTTGTTGCTGAAACTGCTGATTTTGTTGTTGAAATTGTTAGTGTGTGTGTGTGTGCTGAAATTTAGTGTGTGTGTGTGTGTGTGTGTTGAAATTTTGTTGGTTTTATTGATAATATTAGGAGAAAGTTGCTGAAATTGTTATGGCTTGTATTTACACTGGAAATGTTCCACATGTTGTTAATTTTGTTATGTTGTTCATGTTGTTAAATGCACTGGAAATGTGTGTTGTTATGGCTGAAATGAGATCAAATAGTTTATGCTCAAATGTACAGATCAAATACAATTTTTTACTGGTGCTATTTTGGACTCTATGCTATGGTACATGCTATTTTGGACTCTTTAAAAAAAAAATTCTGCCCAGATGCATTCCAGGCTGTTTTGGAGAGTTAAGGTGGTTGAAAGTTTGTTGGTTTGGCATTTGAAAATGAAAACAAATGGAGAAAGCAATAACATTATTGCTGAAATTCAGTTTGTTATGTGGCTTAACAGTTTCTCATTTTGCTGATTTTTTATTTTTATGGTTGTAACGGAAAGCTCATCCATTTCCTCTTTATTCAGTTTCAGTGTATCCTATCAATTAGTAGTTACTTACAATCAACCTCCTTCTGGAGATCTAACACTGTCAAATACTATCTCTACACCCAAACCAAACCATGGTAACACTGATGCAAACAAGACCAAATGCTATAATTTACAAGCTCTATAATTAGCAAATCCATAACTATATTCATCAAATTTCCATTTATAAAAACCATCTAAAATCATTGCATCTATTCATTAAAGCCAAAATGCTATAAATGCCGACAATACATCCGTTAAGTTTTATAAAATCCATAATAACTTTAGTCAAATTTTCCGAAGCCAACCAAACAATAAGTTACATCATAAAGTACAAAATCATAAAAATTACAATGACATACACCATCTCCTTCAAATGATTTTCAATCCTTTCAAGCCTTCGACCATAGTCATCATTTTCATTTTCGATCCTTTCAAGTCTTCGACGATATTCATCATTTTCATTTTCTATCTCATGAAGGCTCGCCCTTAGATCATTAAAGTCTTCTATTGTTATAGCATCGCAAGCTCTAGTGATGGAACGGATTGTGGACGTAACGTCTTCATCATCTTCATCCACGAACTTGAAGTAATTACAGTGGCCACTGTTACTTTACAATGCATAACAATCAATTAGTCGAATAAGACAAATTAATTTGTAACTACTAAAGGATTAATTTTACAATACATACATATTTTGATGGGCATACAAAGAACAAATGCCCTTGATTTCCATGATCATTGGTTCTTAAAATATATATGGCAGTTGTTCTTCCACAATTGCACAGCCTCGGTTTTAATCTTATGTTGCTATTGTTAGTAATAGAAGAAGAAGCCATTTTTTAATCTGCATACACAATACAAACAATCTCACAACTAAGGTTCACAATCCCATTTTTTGAAAATTGATAAAGACATGTATAGCATATCACAAACATCCTCATATTATAGCATATGATTCTTTAATTTAAGTGCAAGTTTAAGAATCCTAACATTCCAGTTTAAGAAAAAATGAATAAAAAATAAATTCTAAAGGGGAAAAGAATGAGAGAAGAAGAATAACAAGAGCTCAATGTTATTGTTACCTAAATTTGTTTTGGTTGCTATGTCAAAACATTTAGCACCAACTCTCATGTTTCTTTGTCCAAGTTACATTAAAAACCAATAAGGATTTTTAATCCAAAGGGGCTAGAAAGGGTGAGGTTTTGCTTAAAAAACAAAATCAAAATAAAAGAACAAAATACAGCAAAAACATAATGGAAAAAAAAAAAAAAAAAAAAATGGTAATGGTACACAAACCAAAACTTTTATACAACATTTTCAGACAAAATGATGTCGCTCCTTGTGATCATTTAATTTCCAGTTAAAACACCCACCATTGCCTTTGTAGTTTTCTAATGCAAATCTTTTAAATATATATCTATAGTTGGTTCAATCAATATAGTTGGTTTAATCTAGTGTGCAATTGGTTCAATCTAGTATGCAATGGACAAATCAAACCCACTTCATAAAATTTCAAAGCTATTTCTTACAGATATTTCAGAGCTATTTCATAAAATTTCATAAGTCCTTTAATTTCAGAGCTATTCCCTCAAAGACCTTCAAAAATCAGATGAAACAAATCAAACCCACTTCATAAAATTTCTCACAGATAACGTCAAAGCCTTTTTCAACCACCTCCTTGCACAACCCAACAAACAAAAGATCTCCCAAATAGTCCTTTTTCACTTGCAGAGACAAAATAAAAATAAAAATGCTCAAAAACCCACCAAAAATCAGACAAAATAGCACAGACCCAATTGAAAAAATCAAGCAAAGATCACATTACATACTTGGCAAAAAGTTAAAAGATTCGGATCACATGCTTGGCCTTCACAAAACAACTTGAAGAAACTTTGTTCAAAGCTAACAGTACAAGCTGTATCAAATAATCTCAGTTCAAAAGCAACCCCAGAAATGTCTGCTACCTTAAAGATTACTGAAATCTGAACAAAGGACTGTAATAGGAAGACTAGTTGAAGGAGAAAGAAGATTACCAGATTACCAAAATCTGAGAGAAAGAAGTGATCTCAACAAAGGACTGGAAGAGGAGGAGGAAGACTAGTTGAAGAAGATTACCGAAATCTGAGAACTTCTCGCCGTCGTCGGGAGTGGGTTGTCGGTGGGAATGGATTTTGTAACAATCCGAAAATTTAAGTTGTCTCTTAAATTTTATACTAGTATTATGGTTGTATGTGATAATATATTATTAAATAAATAATAATAAATACAGAATCTAATTTGGCATTAAATTATCAAATATAGGATTAATTAGAGATTATTATTTGGGACCAAATTAACAGAAATATAGAATTATAATACTAGTTGGGCCAAATTAAAGTTAAAGATAGTAAATAAATAAATATAAAAGTAAGAGTAAATAAATAATAATAATAATAATAATAATAATAATAATAATAATAATAATAATAATGGGTGTGGTAGTAAAATAAATAATTAATTTTCTGTTGGTATACGATAGAGTGTAATTTAATTAGGGATTAATTTATTTATATATTTATATTAGAAAACTGGGTCAAAGTATAATTATCTTAAATATTTATTAAAGATAAGTATAAATTCATATAATTTATGATCAAATCTGTGGGAGGATTCGCGTCTGGCCACGTGTTGGCCTGATAACGTTCTTACCTCCCTATAAATAGGGAGGAGGTGATCAACCGTGGGAAAGAAAAGGAAAAAAAGGGAGGAATGAGAAGGGAAAGAAACGAAGAAAATGAAGAAAAAAATAATGGAAGCCGAGAGGGTCTTTGATAGTGGAAAGAAAGAGTGAGACATTAAAGTTAAGGTGAGTTATATTATACCTTGAGTCACCATAATATATTTTACGTATGTTTTGACTTACCATAAATTATTACATACAAGTTTATGTTTTATGAATTATATTAATATTCCAATTACGTGGATTATTTTCTGAACTCTATTTGTTTAAAATGAAACCAATTGATATGTTTGTTTAACTTTTAATGATTATTTAACAATGACCTTATAAATAATTATGTTTTGTAAGTACCCCACGTGGAGTCCCACGCCTTGGGGGATTTAAATAACCATCGGCTTCTGTTTGGTCACTTTGTGGCACTCTAGTGTCATGGATCTATTGACCTCTGTTCTGTGCGGAGATAAGTGCTACACTATTGTGGGAGCCAGCTCTATAATCCGTACGAGCCACTTATTGAATCCGTATCTTTGTTCTGACTGTCACTCCTGTGACTTTTGCTCTGTTCTGTTCGGTACCGTGGTTATAGTAATTTATTTACATAATCTCAGTTTTGCTACTTAAATGATTATTTGTTCAGACTAAGTTATTTTAACTATTTTAGTTATATAACTATCCATGGTTATTTTGTATTTCTTATACTCTTGGCATAATATTTCTCACTTTGCCATTTGCTTATAGCTGTTTATCAATTTTTTGGAAACAATGCAATTCAAAAATAGCTTTTGGAAAGTCTTAGACGCGGGGCTGCGGAATAGACACACACAACACTTTTTATATGTAAATATCGGTCTTTTTGGTCAACAAATTTTGTAATAAAAATAGAAGCTCTAATGATTATTTTAGTACCCTCACTTAAATATTATTTCCGCTCGCGTTTATTAATTTGTTCAAGAATTGGCCAAAGGTAACTTCAGTTACTGGTCATCACGATACTTAACCCTTGGGTACGGGGAACGGGTCGTGACAGGTTTAGTGGAGGAGAAGCGGGCTGAGTGAGAGTGAATGTATACTCTGTATAAGCTGTAATGTTTTGGGCGGCACCGGTGAAGGTGGGTCGCCGGTGCGGGTGGGTTCAGTAGAGAAGAAGCGGGTTGAGTGAGAGTGAGTGTATACTATGTATAAGCTGTAATGCTTTGGACAGGAAAATGAAAGTTCCAATTTTGATTTATTTATTTTTATAGCTGTTGGATCTGCTACGTTAAATCTCAGCCGTTGCACGAAAGAAATAAAGAAGGGAATTAAGGAGAGGATCTGAACTCAAATTAGTGTGGCATTTGAGGTTCATTATATACCCTATGCAGATTATAATTTTATTATTAAAAGGAATATGGTTGCAAATAAATCAAGTAAAGTCAAATTTTTGAGTGTTTAAATTTGATTTTTTAAGAATTCGTTGAGATCGAGATCAAGTTGAACTAAATTCAAGCTTTAAACAATGAGCTTAAGTTCTACTTCAATGAACTCAATTACATAAATTAATTGAATTTAAACTCGAACGTGAAAGGAAAAATTAAATTAAAATTAATTTGTGTATTAAGAGTAATAAAGAAAATTATGAGTGAAATATATATATATATAGATATATAATACTTATAAAATAATAAGAGAAATTTTATTTGGAATGTGTACCATATGCCTTTATTTACGACTTTTGTAGTATTTAGTTATGCCCCCTTAAGGTGTTAGTTTTGACTTATCCTTATGTAGTGTTTGGTTTTATGACCTTTTTTTTAATTTTATTTTTTATAGTTATAATTCTAAAAGGATTCAGTTATGACATTTGTAATAATCCACCCCACAAATATCATACCTTGTATATGTTATACATGGCATGATACATGGCATGACCCTAACAATAAATTTCATCATACAAATATATAAATTTACACACAAAAGTAGAAAATAAAATAAAATAATAAAAAATTGTTTGATAAATTAAATATTAACTTATATATATATATATATATATGTATATATTCACAAGACTTATTGAGTTGAACTTGAATCTATTCATGCTCGACTCGATTACTAAATAAGTCTAAAAATTGAGATCAAGTTCAAGTTCAAACTCATTCATTTAATAAATTAACCAATCTCAAATAACTCTTAAATAAACTCAACTTGAGTTATTTATGATCAATTCAATTTATTTGTAGATAATGGAATAAGATCTGGTCTTAATCCTTGACTCGTGGTATGAAGCTAAGTTATTGGCTGTGCTGATTGTTTGGTCCGTGAAGTAGTTTGCTCATGCCTACCTTGCTTTGGACTTCATGGATTGAGCTTTCCCAGTGGATCTCTAGTTAGCTTGGCTTAATTAGGCCTCTCTTTTACCCAAAATAAATATATAAAAATAAAATAATTTCTCAACGGTTCATTGAATTTTTTTTTCCCCACAAGATAGAGATTAATGTATTAGTAATTAAATTATAACGCAGACCAACGTTTTTTTATAAAGTCGAATCTAAAATCTTACTTACCTTAACACCCTCTCCATTTAGACAACTGCCCAAGTGGACAATCCATTGATTTGGGATGCCAAACTTAATGTACATTAGGTAGTATTAAACTTTTTTAAAGTCATGATTCAACTAAATGTGACATGATTTTACTATTATTTAGTCAAATCCCACACTTCTTCGCAAACCAAATGTGGTCTAAAAGTCTAGACGGCAAAACAGAAATAAATGCACCAATTGACAAATTGGGTGCAAAATTTGTCAAAATTTTCACAATTAAAGTATAGTTTGATTACTAATATAGTTTTTTTTTTTTTTTTTACATTGTTAGTGAGAGGGTAATTTGTAGTCAAATTGGGCCGAGTTAGGTGGAAGTGAATTTGAGGCTTGGGTCCCGTGATAGGCCAAATTATGTTTGGGAAGGGCTTAGTGAGGGCCGAGCAATGGATTGAACCGATCAAAGAAGTTTGACTAAACTACCAGAAGATCCATATTCTCGAACCTAGCAACCTCCTAATGGCGGTCAACGCTTTGACTAAGCTATAAGGAAGACGATCAAACGGACTGAGTAGAGGTTTGACCGAGCTAGGAGATGAGCCGCGCTATATTAGCATGGTGGCAGGCCGAGCAAGCTGTGCACGGCGTGCTGCATGTTGCAGGGGTCGACCAGTGGCGGATAGAGCAAAAGTCGTCTGGCCCCTCTGAACATCTTCTTAGTCTATTTGCTGACCTAGACATTAGAGGGGTTTTTGGCACACACCCACCGGCTAGATCACGTTTGTGTTTTCAGGTGATACGACGACGTTCGGAGGAGCACAAGTTTGATCAATAAGATTATACGAGTAAAGTTTATTTCATACTCGTATAATTAGGATTAATAAAACTATGGGATTAAAGTCGAGATTATATATTATGTATAATCATGGTAGAATATAGGGGTGGGTGTTCATCGGGTCAGGCTGACACTACTTGATAAGGAATTTTGTATATGTCCAAACCTAGACCGACTCTAACTTCGGGTCTCTACATTTGCCCAAACCTGTCCCAAAAAATAATTATAAATTCTAAGTCTACGCATGGGGTTTTATGTTAATTTTTTTTAAAAATATTTCATAATTAAATTCAATCACACATTATATTTCTTAAATAAATATATTAACAACATTATAAATTGAAGAATTTTATTTGTAAATTGAAAGATTTCTTAAATAAATTTAATCAAATATCACCATAAATGTGAGTTTCAATAAAATTAACAAAAATAAAGTTTAGATCCGACAAAAAATATATATTTTAATATATTATAATTAATTAATTAATTTAATACATGACCAGGCTGGGTCATACCGGGCCAAAAATAAAAATCTCAAGCCCAATTCATTAACATATCGTGTAGACTGGACTGGCCAACGGGTCGATGCCACCTCTAATAGACTGTAGTATCAGAAAATAAATAAAACAAACAAAACAAAATTCCTGTGTGTATGGCCTGGGAACGTGCCCAGCCCATCCTTTGGGCCCTTAAGTAAGCCCATGTGTATGGCCTGGGAACGTGCCCAGCCCATCCTTTGGGCCCTTAAGTAAGCCCATATAAACATTCCAGTCCCCTTAGGTTGTGTCTGCCCATTTAGAACCCATCTTACTTGAACTCCTTATAGGAAATGAGTAATATTACACAAATAAAAAATATATACGTAATGATGTAATTTATTAGAAACCTTTCACTTTAAAATAAAATATTAATAAAGATGAATTTATTTAGAATAACGATATTGACACATTATTCTTGTTAAGTTTTATATATAAATTTTATGTAAAAATATAATTTTCCATGATGAGACACTTGAAATATGTATCCAAATCATACTTAGTAATTTGATTTTACCATAAAACCTTCCTATTAACCATGAAAATGCACTATGACATTTTGTGACTACTATTTA